ATAACACACTTTTTAAAATAATTATCTATAATAACCTTACATTATATTTTTTTTGTAAATTTTTATATATTTTATACTTTAATCAATTAAAAATATAATAATTAATTAAAATAAAAAATATAATATTAATAATTAAAAATTTAACAATAACATCTCCCGTTTATATGCTTTGTTAAATATCATTTAAATAAAATTAAACCCTTTTTATTCCAACCAATAGAAGTTGATACATTTTCTTAGAATATATGGATTTGATAAAATGTGCCGAATTTGGGTTCTGTTTGGAAACGGGTGCTATTATAGACACCGATTTTTTTTTTCATTAATCTCCTTTTATCCGAAAGTAATATTATATCTGATTAATTCAGAATTGATTTGCATAAGATTCATAAAAGGAAAAAGCTAATCCAACATTTACCTCTCTATTCACCACCATATTTAAACTAATATTTTAAAAATATTAAATTCTTTTTATCCAAACTAATAAATTCTTTTTATAGATACGGATTTTCTCGGAGCCAAACAGGCCTTAGATATTTATCTCCTTCCCCCGCCATGGATGATATATAATCTCCGGCGTCCAGTCTTCAGTTTTTAGTCGTTAAACCCAGCCAAAACCTTGAAATTCGTCGCCTTATCGATGCGCTTTATCTCCATTCTTCAATGGCTCTAGTACCTCCTCGCCAGTTATATCCAGCGACAGCAGCAACTGCAACAGCAACCTTCCTCGATTCGTTTCAATCCTCTCTCTCGAGGTTCCGTGGCACCCCTCTTAATTTCTTCAGGTACAATTCCTCCGTTTTTCCCCTAAGAACTGTCAATTTCTATGTTACCCACCAGAGTTTCAGCTCGCTCTCACGCTCTCACCGATTCCCACATGGTAAATTCAATGCTTTTGCCCCCAAGGAACCCTCTTGTAGCAGTAATTGGTTAGATAGTTGGAATAGAACCCACAAACTAAATCGTCCAAAACCGCCGCAGGCAGTGTTGAATTATAGAAAAAATGGGAGGGTGTCAAGTAATTATTCGAATGGGGATGATTACGGTGGTGGTGGTGATTCTGGAGGTAGTACAATGGAGAAGATAGTGGAGAAGTTGAAGAAATTCGGGTACATTGATGAGGGGAATGAGAGGGAAGAGAAGGGGAAGCAGCAGGAGAAAGTGATTGAAAGAGGGTCTATAGAGGACATATTTTATATGGAAGAAGGACTCTTGCCGAATTCTCGTGGTGGGTTTTCAAAGGAATCGCCTTTGGGAATGGATAATGTGTTTGGGAGTGATGGGGAAGTGAAGTTTCCCTGGGAGAAGCGAAAGGAGGATGAGGCGGAAGAGAAGTGGACGGTGAGGATGAAGAGTAAGACCTCATTGGCCGAGTTGACCCTTCCGGAGTCTGAATTGAGGAGGCTGAGGAACTTAACGTTCCGGACAACGAGTAAGACAAGAATTAAGGGTGCAGGTGTTACTCAAGAGATTGTGGATGCAATCCATGAGAAGTGGAAGACATCAGAGATTGTTAGGTTGAAAATTGAGGGGACTCCTGCACTTAACATGAGGAGGATGCATGAGATATTGGAGGTTGGTTACTGTTATAGTGTTTATTTAGTTTAATCCCATCATCTTTTGCTTTCAGTGGATTTTTACTTCTTTTTCCGATGGATGCATGCCTCGGAATTTATTTATGTTAAAAAGAGGGCAAAAATCCAAATTGATACGTCAAAAGTACTTTGAATGAAACAGAAGTCTCCACGAAGGAGTGAAAAGTGATTTATAATTTCTCTGAGAATATATGATGCTAGTTGACATAGGATTCCCCAGAGACACCTTTAAACCTATTAATTTTCCAGGTACTGAATGATTTCTCTGTTAGTATGGTTCTTCTTGGAACGTCTTCAATCTTGAAATGCACAAAGCAATAGCATAAATATTCTCATGCTATAAAAAATAAATAAATAAACGATGGAAAATGGTATACAATGGCTTACAATAATGTTATATTACTGGATCTTTTGTATTTTATTTACATTTCTAGATCCGAGTACCAGTTATGCATTGTCTGTCCTGCTCATTTTTCTTTTCCTTCTACCTTCTTTACTTTGATGGCTTTCCTTCTCCGTTTTATGTTCAGAGAAAAACTGGAGGGTTAGTGATTTGGAGGTCTGGGACTGCTGTTTCTTTATATAGGGGTGTGAGCTATGAGGTTCCTTCAGAGAAACTGAATAAAAGAATTTATAAGAGAAATGAGATAATTACCAATCCCTCACAAACAGCTATTGATGAAACTATTCAGAATCCTTTAGAATCAGGTTCTGATAAAGACCAACGTGCGCTTCAAGCCAATGTTGAAACTACTGGAGAGGAGAATAAAGACACAAAATCATTGCCAGAAGTAGATTATGATAGTGAAGTAGACAAGCTATTAAATGGTCTAGGTCCCAGGTACACAGATTGGCCAGGATGTGAACCATTGCCAGTAGATGCAGATTTGCTTCCTGGGATCATCCCTGGTTACCAACCTCCATTTAGAGTGCTTCCTTATGGAGTAAGATCTACTCTAGGACAAAGGGAGGCAACAGCTTTACGAAGACTAGCCAGATTTCTCCCTCCACACTTTGCCTTAGGTATGGCATCCTTCTTAGGCAATTTCATTTGAAGATGATTTTATTTTCTTTTTGCCCATCAATTGAACTATCTGTTCCCAGGTCGAAGTAGGCAGCTTGAGGGTCTGGCTGCAGCCATGATTAAATTATGGGAAAAAAGTTCAATTGCCAAAATAGCACTCAAACGAGGAGTGCAGTTGACCACTAGTGAGAGAATGGCTGAAGATATCAAGGTAACAGAACCTTAATACTGAGACCTTTCTGTATTGTGTAGTAAATTGTATATCAACATACACTGGTAAGTTTTTTCTCTACAGTGTTCTGGACACATTTGTTGTCATTTCATTTGGACCTCTCAAACAAATCAGTTTAATGAACTCATACATGAAATAAGTATACTACCGAAAATACGTATTGTGAGATCCCTTTGTAAAATTGCTGGAACTACGTGATTAATATTTACAGAACTTCTTAGAAGTTCTGAGTCTTTGGCTGTGTGCTTTCATTATATTTTTATACAATTTTTTGGCCAATATGCTAGATAATCTGACTGAATTTTATTTGTAAGTTACACCTTACATAATCAGCTAAATGAATCATTGACTGGGGCCTTAGAATGATTATTTCAATCTAATATTTTTAGAATGTCGGGAACTTTTAAAATTTTCTTTATTGTATGACAGTTACTGATACATTTATCTGGCATATTGGGTTAATCATCAAAGATTAAGATCACCATTCAGAAATGCCAAATAGATTAGTTAATTGCAATTTCTTTTTGTTGGCTGCACTGCAGAAATTGACAGGGGGCACATTGCTCTCTAGAAACAAGGACTTCTTGGTCTTCTATAGGGGAAAAAACTTTTTGTCATCAGAAGTTGCTCAAGCATTACTTGAAAGAGAAAGATTGGCAAAGACCTTGCAAGATGAGGAGGAACAGGCACGGTTAAGAGCATCGGCATTTTCTGTACCAAGTGCTGCATTGGCTGAGCTACCTAAAGCTGCTGGTACCCTTGGAGAAACTTTGGATGCCGATGCTCAATGGGGAAAGAGATTAGATGAGAATCACAAGGAAAAAGTGAAGAAGGAAGCAGAAATAACGAGGCATGCCAACCTAGTTAGGAAGCTTGAAAGGAATCTAGTTTTGGTGGGTTCCTTGAGTCCTTATATCGTTTGGCAATATTCTCATGCATTAATATTGTACACACATTAGTTTCTATCTGACTTGGATTTCATACTTCTATTAAATTGCAATTTGCATATGATTTATGACATGTTGTTTTTGTAAAGAGAATGACTAGAATCATGTTTCGTAATATGTATCTTCCATGCTAAAATCACTTTCTTGAACTTCAAATCTTTTTCCCTCCAGGCTGAAAAAAAGCTAATGAAAGCTGGAAAGGCCTTATCTAAGGTGGAAGATTTCTTAAGGCCAACTGAAAGGCAGCCTGATCCTGAAAGCATAACCAATGAGGAGAGATTTATGTTTCGCAAGCTGGGGTTAAGAATGAAAGCTTTCTTACTTCTTGGTATTGTACATTCTACCATATGAATCATGGTTTCCCCATCTGGATTCAGGATTCAGGATTTATGGAATTTGGATTCTTGCTTCAGGTAGGCGTGGTGTTTTTGATGGTACCATAGAGAACATGCACTTGCACTGGAAGTACAGGGAATTGGTCAAGATCATCATGAAGGCTAAAAGTTTTGATCAGGTGAAAAAAGTTGCACTGGCACTTGAAGTTGAAAGTGGAGGTGTCCTGGTTTCTGTTGACAAAGTGTCCAAAGGGTATGCTATAATTGTGTACCGAGGAAACAATTATCAGCGGCCTTCCACGTTGAGGCCAAGGAATCTTTTGACAAAAAGGAGGGCCCTGGCACGTTCTGTTGAGCTTCAAAGACGCGAGGTATCTCTCAGAGACCCCCTCCTTGACAAATGTGGAAGTAAATAGCATTTCCCGTATACACTTGTTAATCCACCTTATTTCAACTACATAAAATCACCTTATGCTAAACTTGGGAGATTTTTGTCTGAAAACTCATCCCAAGGTCTTAACTCTCAACTTTCTAGAATTTGTGACCTTGACTCATTTTTCTCATAATTTTACTACAGGCTCTTGTGAAGCATATTGGCTCTCTGCAGACTAAAGTGGAAAAACTAAGATCTGAAATAGTAAGGCTCTATTGCAGAACTTTGGCTTTTGGTATCCTAAGCCTATATATTTGGTGGTATATGGGCTTTTGCATAGAAGGATCATAGATGCAAATATGTAATCTTTCTTGTTTTGCATTTATAGGAACAAATGCAAGGTGTGAAAGACAGAGGTGACGAGGAATTATATGACAGACTGGATCATGTTTATCCAACTGATGATGATGACAACGATGATGATTATGACACAGAGGTTAGTGTTCTTTATGATCTCCTGTGATCAGCTACTGCTGCTTCTCATGTTTAGTTGTCTGTCTATCACGAATTATTTGGTTCTTTTCTCATGTTTTACAGGAAGAAGACGGGGCATATCTCGAGACATATGAGAGTGAAAATGATGATGGAGATGAACCTGATGATCTAATTCACAATCTCCACTCAGAAACGGTTGTCCAGGACCATATCCAACATCAGGAGTCATACTTAGAATCCTATGATCCTGAAGCACTAGTATATAATACATCGTGCAACAAAACTGATGAAGTGAAGTAGAAAGATAATGATCATCGATAATCAAGATTGGCATTATAAAGGGTCTCAGAGCATGCATCCACCAATACAACAGATCAATCAAGCCAGCAAACATACAAAAAGGTTGTGCCATGCCCAGCATGTATGTTAGTGTCCTGATCTTTCCCGAATCAATCATTTACGTAGTTTCACTACTTCCCGTGAAATGTTAGAGCTCAAAGCAGATGCTACTTGATTGATGCAAAGCAAACACACTACATCAAGCTTACAAGAATGTTTATACTCAAAACATGTCTAGGAAAATAGATATTGTTTTGGCAATGAGAGTCATGTTCTATAGTTTGAATTGCAAAACCAGAATTATTAGATTGGGGGACAATTCGAGTTCACCTTAGCAAATGTTTTAAATTATACGTAGTCTTGGTGTAATTTAAACCGCATTGATATTTTTTTATTTTACAATAATATCCCTTCCTACTAGGGGATTTAAAAAAAAAAAAAGATTTTTTTTTTTTTTTGTGTGTAAATAATATGAGATAGAATCAAGGCAAAGGAAATACCCTAGGGTGTAGGGAATTTGCATGTCCAGCACATTAGCATTAAGTTACATCACAATCACAACAAGGCATTCATTAAAATAGGAAAATCAATAGCACTTGATTCTTTACGTCAAGTTACCTTCATATAAATTGAGGTATACTCTTTTTTTTTTTCTTGTGAGTTCAAACTCATTCTTGACAAATTATTCAAAAACAAAAAAAAAAAAAGGAAAAAATCAATTGAAAAGCTGTGACACGATGTAACAAGCCAATTTACGTACATATTAGTTTCTCTAAACACGTGAAGACAGATGTAGAGATATCCCGACAACTCAAAATCAAGATCAGCACAAGGTGATTAGAATTAGGTTCCTTAGACAAAAGTTGGTAAGAAACTAAGGAGTACATTTCCACAATCCAGATACTGAATCTTAGAAAAACATTGATGAATGGATTGAATATCTGTGTTTTTATAATCCATTTTCTTACATCCATCTTATAAATTGGTTTTCAGGCCACAAATTAGTCTGAAATCCTATAATTGAAGAAAGAAGTCAAAGAAGGTCAGATTTTTTTCCCTTTGACGGCACCCACGGAACACGAAAACATCAAGCAGTGCCGTTAATTGCAAAACATTGACGAAAGCTAAGAAAACAATCTAAGCCGCAAACTTTTGTACACGTGGCGAGTGATTATCCGTTGATTTCAGATAGTGATTCATTCATACATCATACGGACAGAACTGGGTCCCAGTTTTGTCTAGACTTTTCTTCTGTCACCAAACACTTTGACCCAACTTTGACTCAAGACTTTTCTTTGTTTTTTTTCAGCAAACTAAGCAACATTATTTTGACCACATGCTAAAATATGGTTCCAGCCAGCTTGGACTAAGCGATCTCTACGATGAGGAAACCGTTGTAATAATAGTTTGTATAAGCAAATAAACCGTTGAGAAACTGAATTTTGAAAATTAACGGGAAGGGAGAAAAGAGGGGGGGTGGGCTGGGAATGGATCGGATAATTTCACAGTTGCTACACGGCGATCTCTTCAGCTACGAGGATCATACTGCTCCTCTGGAGGAGGAGGAGGAGGCTGCCCCTGTTCTGAACCGGAGTGCTTTTGTGCCGTATGTAACAGCGACCAGAAATGAATTTGGGTTGGTGAAAAATGGAATGAATTTGAAGCCTGGAAGCATGAACAAGAGGATCATCGAGTTCTTGAGAAGGAACTTTGGGGCACGAGAAACCGAGCGAGAAAGATGTTTCCGGCATATGATGAGTGAGAGAACAAGGAGGGAGAAGCAAAAGAGGAGTTACTCTGCCCTGCACTCTGTTTTGCCTCCCGGAACCAAGGTTTGATTTTTTTTTTTTTTTTTTTTTTTTTTTTTGCAATTAACCCTTAATTCAGTACTCAAAATTCAAAGCAAACAGGTTGTTTTTAGTTATAATTTTGTGTTGAATTTATCACAGGGTGATAAGAACTCAGTAGTTCAAACAGCGACGAGGACGATTCAGGAGCTGGAAAAGCAGAAGGAGGAGCTGCAGGGAAGAAACAACGAGCTGGAGGCGAATTTGGTGGCAATAAATGAGAAAGACGGTGGACGAAAGAAGATCAGAGTAAGGGTAGATAATCCGACATCCGGGATTGATTCTATGGTGGAGGTTCTCAGATGCTTGAAGAAGATGAACGCAAAACCCAGGACCATCCAATCAAAGTTTACCACTCAAGAACTCATAGCAATAGTGGAGATCGAATCCAAGGTATCAAAAAATCTTTAAAAATTTACTCAAAAGTTGGACGCAATGGTCACAGTTTTTTTAATAATATATTTCATTTTCTTGCTTTGTTCAGGTAGGAGTAGGAACTGGGGAGGTAGAAAAGGCTTTGGAAATAACATTGCAGGAAGTCAAGAAGAAATTCGTGTCTGGCTCCCGTTGATTAAGGAGTATTTGAAAAATAATATTGTTCTGTATTTGAATTCACTGGGTTGAAAAAGATGACAAGGTAAGAGGTTATAATTATAAACTACAACATTCTAATTATATCAATTTTAATACAATATTACAAATTCTCACTCCAAATTTTTTTCCTTTTTCTTTTTATATATATGTATATGAGAACTCCTTATAAATTTGAGCTAAATTCAAAATTGAAGAAATTTAACATACCCTTGTTTGCGATGCCCGTAATACCCATGCGGATAATCTGAGATTGCGTTCTAAACCGATTAAGGCTACACATGCAACTCACGAAATTGACAAACAAATCACAAACCAGCAGGACTATAAGATAAATGGAACATCAAAAAGCAACGTCACCTTAAATAATAGCATACGACTTGGTACCATAAACAGAAATAACTAAATAAATGTAAATTGTTATATCAAGCAATTCAAAGATTGATAAACAAAAACTGTCAATGTTGGTGATTTCCCACAATAACAAAGCATTGAATGTCTAGGCTGCTGGAGAAGACATATCACTTAAGAGGGATGAACCTAGATGAGTGTGTGGCACCAATGCCGGGTCTACCATGCTTTACAGGCTTGTATGAGATAGAGAATTCGGCAAGATAATGCCCAATCATCTCAGGCTTGATTTCAACTTGATTGAATGTCTTGCCATTGTATACACCAATAATGCTTCCAATCATTTCAGGGACAATGATCATATTGCGCAGGTGGGTTCTCACTGGCTCTGGCTTCTCACCAGGTGGAGCCTCCCTTTTCTAGTTCATAATAACACAAGTATTACTTGGGTATACTAATCAACATTTATAACAAAGACACAGCATGATAAAAGTTCCTAAAAAGTCAATGTCAGTTTAGAACCAAAAACAATAATCTACTTTTTAAACGAAACCAGCTCAATGACATGGTTAAAATGAAATGAAAATCTAACAATTTGACATGGTTTAACTTGAAATGTAGATATGAAACAGATCCAATAGGAAAATGATTGAAGTTTAAGATCATACTTCAAGCAATTATTTTTCCAAACAAAGAACAAGGACAGGACTAGCAAAAACCGGAAAACTACTATAACTTTGAACACTTAAATGAAAACCTTGATGTTACATCCCATCATGTAACTTTGAAGCTACAACTTTTATCAATTCATGCCAAAGCAACACTAACTAAATAAACTATCAACTCATCGTGTATATATATATATATGCATTAGATTAATAGGAAGATTAAAAACGGGACCAAATCTTCTTCTTAGGAAACTCAGACATCTTAAAAATTCACCCAAATTAAAACCGAAGAATCAAGCTCTGAACAAAGCAAGTCTAGGACTAATGTTTGAGAAGAAAGCTTCAACACAGTTAGAAAAGGCAACAGATAACAACCAATAAAGTTAATCCTAAAACAACTAATACAACCGTAAAAAGACAAGCTGAGGTCAATTTACCGCCTTGCGTAGCTTCTTGATCAATGCCATGGGCTTCCTCTTGAGACCCCTCTGGAACCTACCAAAACACAATCCGAGCAAAGAAATCAGACCCCATTTCACTCACATACACACGTACCTACAATAATTATATAGATTAAGCGCATGGACATACCTTCTACGAGCACGGGCATGGAAGAGCTTCACAAGCTCATCAGTGGACATGTCAAGGAGTGCATCCAAATCAACACCCCTGAAGCTAAACTTCTTGAACGTCCTCTTCTTGGGCTGTCCGGCCGCCACCTCTGTCTCCACATCCGCCTAGATGGACCCACAAACACACACGGTGAGAGAAGGTCACAACAGAGAGAGAATGAGACGGAGAACAAGAACAACTTACCATGGTCGAAGATTGCTGAGTCTGTGTAGCAGAGGCTCGATCTGTGGCGGCTAGATTTCTGAGAATAGTACGGATTTTGCTAGGGTTTGTTGGTATATAACCTGACACATCTATCTGGGAATTGGACTGTGAAACTGACTGGAGGACCAACGAGGGTCCAATTTTATTTGGGCCCTTATCCAATTTGAAGTGTTTTTATTTTGGGCCGGTTCTTTTTTTTTTTTTTTAAACAGTTTTGTCATGGGCAGTTTCCAAACCCGTTCAGGAGGGGGATGTGCACTTTTCAGTGGCTCTAGCCACTGGACTACACGGGCCAAGCGCAGTTCTTTAAATATGTATAGATAAAGGTGTTTATTCAAACCAATAGGATGGAATCCACATTATCCACTCACGTATATGAGATTTATTTCTAATGTTAGCACGGCATCTCAGTACGGTATACCTTTATTTATAAGTATTTTACCTATTCAAATAAGTAATATATGTAAATTGTAAAAAAATAGATAATTAATAAGTATAAAAACAATATAATTATACTAAAGTTAAATAGCAAATATAGAAGTTTAGAATTATTTACCTGATTTATTTAACTAATGGTTACTTACTTGTGTAATTAAAATTTTATATATATTTATCATACATAATATCTATATAATAATAATTTTTAAAAATAAAAATAATAAATAATAAAGTTTATAAACTAAACAAACTACGCGCAATAATAATAACTCATTTAAAAAATAAAGTCTATATCAAAACATATAACACATGTAATAATAATATTTTATATTAAACTTTTTTTTTCTTTAAAATAAATACGCAAGTATATACCTATAAGTTACTCAATATATGTAGTGTTAAGTGTTTAGATTTTGGAGTATTTGAATACGTACCAAGTTAAAAAAAAGCTATACCTAAAAGTTTTTACATTAACTGCCAAATATTATTCATATCTAACTTGTATTTGAAAATACTCATTCTTATTTATTTCTCATCTTATTGATTAAACTTTTTTTTTTTTTTGAAAAAATCAATGAAAAAATAATGTTACATTAATCCTTTAGTCTTGACTTGGTGCAAGGATAACTTATTTTTAACTTCACTGATAAGAAATTAATTTTAAGATCTACACAATCTAATAAAATACCCTCACCCCTAAAAAACAACAGTAAAATTTAGAAGTCCTAATGTTCATAAGAAAACTTCGTTTTGGACGCTCATACTTCAAGAGAAAAAACAACGCTTGTCACTGTCAAAAGCTTACAACAAAAACATCCTAATCGAAGGGGTTTGAGAGTCCAAAACAAAGTCATGTTATAATTTTCTTCATAAGATTCTTATTAGTGTAGCAGTCGAAATTGAAAATTTTTATGAGCCTGCTGTTTTACAATTTAAACTGTAAAACAAGAATTTTTAGATGAAAAGGGCTCCCAATATCTTGGAATATCATAAACTGCTGAGAATCTACTAATCTGTGTAACTAAACAGATATGGAAACAAGAAGGGAACTTGCAATATCAATAGACTGCCTAGAATCTGGTCTGTGTATCTAAGTACATATAAAACATCTGAAGAAAAGGAATATGACTCAGTTGTGAAGGGGGTTTGGTCCACCAGGAACAGCTCTAAAGGAGGCGTCATAGATAGACTGACTCTTATCTGTGACTGAATCTTGAGCAGCTTCTGCATGGAGTTCAGTTCTGAATGTTTTCTCTGCTTCATTGCTTAAACTTCTGTGGATGTAGCGGCAGCTCGAGAACTGGATGCTGGAAAGCATGATTAAGAAGAAGAAGAACAGAAAAGAAATGGTGGAATTCAAAATCTTCATGACTGTAATATTGATTTGGAAGCAGGTTTAGAAGTCTGGTAATATGGGATCAAGTAACCTGTGGTGAAAGAAAGATCCAAGATGTCAATTAATTCTGTTGAAATGGCAGAAGCACCCTTTATGGCTGTGGTGAAGAAAGATCCAAGAATTCAATTAATTCTGTTGAAATGGCAGAAATACCTTTTATGCTTGACAAAAACTGCCCTCCCATGTAAGGCTTTTGTTTTACTGTATGGACTATAGAACATTTTTTTCGAAATACTATAGTACTATTTTCATATTCCTCATCAATCAAATTTTGGATCATTGGAAGGACATGAAAAGTAATTCCCCTACTTCAGATCTTAAGAAAAAATAAAGAAAGACCACCTGTCCAGAACAGCAATCACATCTCTCCAATTTCCTTGCATTATAATCCACAAACACTGTTCCAACACATGACCAAAAAAAAAAATCTACCATTTTGGTGGTTCTGAATTCTTACTTCAGATCTCTTATTGAATATGATCAGTTGACTTTGTGTTATTGTGTTTGGGTGCTGCATTTCTCAATCCTCTGGATGGAAGTTCTTAGCTCCAGTTGCAAGCTAGGCCTTGAAGGTGTCAAAATGTTGTCGTTCCAGACAGACCCAGGCTGGTAAATTTTCTCTGGGTCACTGTAAAGCTCATAGACATTCTCTGCCTCTGGGTTCAAGCTACGCTCTGTTTCCAAGCACCCTATTTCATCTGGATCTACCAAAATCTTGCTCTCACCATCTTTCCATGCTATCAACTGCATTTGTAAAATTTTTTAAGTAAAAAACAAAATTACACATAGTACTATACTTATTTCCCAGGGAAGGTGAAATGGGGAAACCGAGGTTTGAACTTCAAATCCTGAGATTGTTCACCCACTAAGGGACGTGGGAGAACTTGTTTCATCTATAATATGCACATCAAATTGTAAGATTCAGATTGGACAGTAACAACAGATATATATATATATATATATCGTATTTACCTTAGGTGGACCTCCTACAGAATTGGTGCAATAAAGCCTGGCCTTGTCAACTAATTCACAATATTTTGGAAATGCAGTAGCAAACCTCTTATGAGATTTCAATTGGGAATTTACCCTCACTGCTCTTCCCACCATTATTGCTCTCCTGCACAAATAATTCAAACAAAGCAACCAATATCACTTCAATTTCACTTAAAATGAAACAAAATTATTTCCTTTTTCTGTTGTTGATTAATTATTAAAACCTTACCTTATCCCCCGAACAACAGCTAGATAAGGATCACATACGACTCCAACCAGCTCTATTCTGTAAGGTTTCCTGTTGGTTCTCTCCCAATTTTCCTTCACTTGTTCATATTCTTCATCATCCTCCTCTACTTGTTCCCAGTAGTTCTCCGTTGTGGTACCGTCTTCTCTTACCTTGTAGCCGACCCCCATCCGATAACGCTTCTTGTGAACGTTCCGAGCCATGGCAATTGTTTGCTCCACGAAAGGTTCCCAGGACAGGGTACCGTCCATTATCACATCACGACCTTCATTCAGGGCAGTGACTAGAAGGGATGATGCGGCGTCAGTGGAGGATTGGTGAACCAGTTCAGCAGTTTGAAGCATGTCATTGTGGTGGCCTCTAGAGCTGAGAGCTCTGTATATAACGTCTGTTTCCTTGAATGCATCTGCTTCCACCATCACCGCGTTTGCTGCTGCTCCTCCCGACCAAAATGATCTACCCAACAATTACAAATTTCTATCTTTTTGAGTTATAATATTTAAAATTGAATTTTTCATTCTCAAGTGAATGTTGGTTAGAATTATTATTATTCCATTGCACTAAACCAGTAATAAATCTATAAGCAACCAGCTTTTTTTAATAAAATATTATTATACAATCTAAACTACATAATATTTTATATCTTATATTAAGATTTGTTACACATACATTAAACCATTTTTATTAGAAATCTGTTGTACTATTTTTTATCAGATTATAAAAAAAGACAAAAAAAAAATTAATGAATCTTCAAGTATGAGATTTAATTTAATTATTAAAGATATATTTATCTTTTTCAAAATCAAATTATGAGTGTTTTTTTATTATTAGGGAGACCGTAAGGCAGTTTTTTTAAGAAAAGATGTAGAAAGGACTTGATTATGTCCTTACTCTTTGAGAATATCTTTGAGAACAGTGCTCTTGCCCGCTCCCATGCCTCCGCCCATAAGAAGCAAGACTGGACTTCTCTGGCTGTGAGCCACCGGCGCCATTACCTCCGTGCAGGGCTCGCCATCGCGTCGAATGGCTTTCATTTCCTTCACCAAGGTGGAAAACACCCTTTTCACCTTCAAATCTTTCACCACTCTCTCAAATCTTTGCTGCCTGTTAAACCACCCGAAATTTTACATTAAAAAAATGTTGGGAATATAAAAAAAAATTAAAAAAAAAATAACAGTGAGCCCACATTTTTATAATAATAATTATTATCATATCAGATTGATTTATGCCCACTTGCAATTGCAATAATACCAACATAGAAAATAGCTTAGGGGTCCCCTTACAACAGTATCGTATTTAAATAATAATATTATTATAAATATAATATTATACAAAATTATAAATTTATAACCACTTGCAATTGCAATAATACCAACATAGAAAATAGCTTAGGGGTCCCCTTACAACAGTATCGTATTTAAATAATAATATTATTATAAATATAATATTATACAAAATTATAAATTTATAATCACATAATATATTATTAAATAAATATATAATATTATAAATAAATTTTTAAATAAAAAATTAATTATGTAATAATATAATATTACAATTGTAATTATATATTTTTGTTTAAATAATGATGTATTACTAAAAAAAAAATGGAGCATGCTATACGGATCAGAAAGATTGAGACCCTTCGGATGATGATCAGACTATAAACATCGAAAGAAAAAAAGGTCAATGGCAGAAAAAAAATAAAAAAATAAAAAAATAAAAAATCATCACCTTGTAGCTGCCATCACAAACTCCTTCAGCTTCGTCTTCTTTTCATTAGATTGAACACTCAAGACCTGATCAATCAAAATCCCACCAAGAAATCAACGGACAAAAGTGAAAACACAGAAATATCTACTCTCTTTTTCGTTTTTTATCAGCTACAGATTTGAGATATGAAGTTAGTAGATCCCAACACGGCTAAACTTAGACTCACATGGAATTGATCTCTCTTTAAGACAAAGAAAATTGACCTGGGTTATCATCGTGGAAGCTTGACTCCAATGGAAGGCGAAGTAACTCAGGATGCATCTCTCCAGCTCTTCGATCAACTTCACGTACATGGTCTCCGCCGACGCCGGATCGTCGGCGAAGTACTCATAAATTCTTACCTCGAATCCTTTGGATTTTTTTAAATAATCGTAAGCTAACTTGCACACTCCCGGGATTTCGCTTGCCTCTGTAAATCCAAGTTGTCTCGCTGCGGATATATATACGGAATAAATCAAACTACATATATAGAAATAAATTTAAATTTAATTTGTTTTGGGTGATACCTACCAACGTAATGGGAGAATCTCTCAAGGTGTCCAACGCGGCCGGATTCTGTCCTCTGAAGAAGAGGAATGATACTGTGGTCTTTAGCCGGTTTGGACTTCAGGCGGCGGCGGTTGTAACGCGCCACTGCTGTAGCAATGGCTCCTATGAGGAAGGCGGCGAAGATGTGAGCGGCGATGACTTTGGCACGGTGCTGCATCTTGTTGGGAGAGCTAGAAACAGAGAGGAGAATGAAATGTTTATCAATTCATTCTGCAAATTGAATTGACATATATGTGGGTTTTTACAGTTGAAGTGTAAATGCGGATTTGTGTTTTTTTATATATAAAGAATGAAAGAAATATTTTTTAATATTTACTGTATTTTTATATTTTACGGTTTTAATATTAAAATTATTTAAATATTTTTAATTAAATTACCTTGTAATTTCATGAAAAATGATATTTGTATAATTATTTTATTTTATTTTTTATACAATTTATCATATTATTAAAATAATTATTTTTTTAATTTATATAAATTTTATAATACTAAATATATTTATTTATTTAATAATATATAAAAATTATATAAAAAAATTATCCCAATAACACTACTTAATTTTGTTCGGTAAACATGCTTTTCTAATATCATTGCTGGACCATTATCTATTTTCAAAATAGTATCATTGCTGGCACTGCACAAAAACACTTTTCTCCGAACTTGGTCAAAATGACTCAGGGGTCTTCCTTTTTTAATATTATTTTGGTATAGGGTTTCTTTTTACACGACCAAAACGTGGAAATTGAGTTATATTACGTTAAAAAAAAAGTGAAAATTATTATAGTTATAGTATATGTAGTAATATATATTTTTAAAGAATTTACCTTTTAAAAATTATTTAAAAAATCATTTTAAAATTATATTTTTTTTAACAAATCTTTATTAAAAAATTAAAATACTTTAATTTTAAAACCTAGATTAAATTATTTTTAACTTTTTTATAATATTTTATTAAAATATATAATTTTAAATTAATTTTTTTCATACTTTTCCCCAAAAAAAGATAAATATACACACTAATCTTAAATAAATTTATTTATCCTCTGGTAGTAGTAATAGTTTCTGAATGTTGGCAATTCTTTGCAAACTTTCTAACATGTTCATCGAGCTTTTGATGAACCAAAAACATAAATTAATTAGTCAAAGAAGACGATTTGATTCATAAGATTATTAGTTTGTTCTTAAACCCTATTTGTCTGTTCAAAATTTTAACTAAAAAAAATTATGAGAAGTTAATTTTTAAAAGATTTTTAAATAAAATTTTTTTATTAGGCTTTGGAAGAAATTTTATGTAATTGGTCGTTGAAGTATCAAAAAATGTGTCATATCATAATAAGACCTGAAACCATTTTTTATTCCTTTCGGCAAGTCAGCAAACATAGAAAGCTTTAATTTATGAAAAAAGTAATAATAAATAAATTTTCCATACTTATCACGTTTGCTCTCTCTGTTCCATTGCCTTTTATGCAATGTCTTTGTGAATAATTACCCCCAAAAAAAACATTATGAATTCTCATCCATATACACCATCATAAATAAAATATTCTGAAGTTTTGAGTGCCTGCCCCCACCCAAATCAATGTGGGTTGGCAATAATATATTGGCACGTTCACTAAGGCAAAATAAATTACATAAATTTCTTCATTATCGTGAGAAATAGTGATTAGTTGGTGTAACATCCAACTCTTTCACATTTACAAATAAAGTGAATCTAATCATGGTGGTAACTACCATTTCTTTAATTAATAATGCTGAATCTATCTTTTCAGTTGGAGTATCTTTTTTTCTATCTTTCTACATGGTTCTGAAAAACAGTTTCAGGGCCCTTTGATTAAAATCGAGAAACTTTTTGGGAAAGTATGTTTACACTTTAATAAAAGAAACAGGGATAAGTCTACAGAATCCACTTTTACCCATAACCATAAGAGCAATGCTAGGGGCACTCGCTTTTTGCACTCTCCGGCCAACACTTCCCCTTTCATTGGGCCACGTAAGCCTGTTTAAAAGCTTTCAGCGCAACTTCTCGGGAACCAAGATAATGTGGCCCAATTAAAGAGAAAGTGTTGGCCGGAGATTCCGAAAAGCGAGTGCCCTAGCATTGCTCTTAACCATAATAGGTAATTGTCATCGCATGGAACTCCACCAAACGACTTGATAGTCGTGTTATTATTGAGGTCGGTAGGTTGTTGATAAGATTTAGAGCATAAATTTTTAATTATTAATATTTAATAATATTAATTTATTAATCATTCCTTTTTGTAAAAAAAAAAAAATTGTCATTCCATCAATCAATTTCCGAATTTAAGCTTTAAAGTTAGAATCCAAAAAAAGTTCAATTTCTTTAAATACAAGCCTCTTTAAAATTGTCGCACTCTCATGTTATCTAAGTGATTTATAATTAGATCAATTTTTCAATTAATACTCAAATAAATATTAATTTATTAATTATATATTTTACAGTAACAAAAAAAAAGCCTCTTTAAAATTGTCAAGGAAAATGAGAACATTCTTGGCTAAAGAAAACATAAGATAAAAAAATAAAAAATTTTATAAGCGAATTATATATTTAAAATATAGATTATTTTATAAATTTATTAAAATATTTTAAATAAAATTGTTCATTACATAAAAGAGAAATACATTTATATATAAGTTTTACATATTATATTTACATAAAATTTTAATTATTTATTTTTTTCTTTTAATGATTGAGATTTAATAATATTATTTTATTAAAAATATTTTAATATATTTATAAAATAAACTATACTTTTATTATATAATTATTGTATAATTTAGACTATATTATAAAAATCTCAATAAAAAAAATTAAATAGATGAACGTGATTTTGGGATCGGCCCACTGATTGGGCCCTTTGTTTTTATAAAAAGGTGAAGACAACCTGGCCCAGTCAGCATACTGTGATAGGGTGATGATTCAGATTCTAATATATTTTTAAAGTAATTTAATTTAGACCTTCTTTGTGTTATTTTTAAAAAAATTAAGAGAAAAAATGACAAAAAAATATTTTAATACATGTTTTAAAAATATGATATTTTAATTTTTTTTAATGGGTGTTTATTGAAACGATGTAATTTTGAGATAATTTTCTTTTTAAAGATTAAGAGGTAAGACTGATAGGTATTATTCTTTTTAATTTAACTAGTTAGTTTAATTTTTAAATTAATTTAATTTATTTTTATATGATAATGAAATCAATTCAACTTAAATTAGATTTAGTGTGGTTTAGTCATATTGATTGATTTTATCATTATTAAATGTATGGGATAATGTAAAAAATTTTAATATCAAATAAAAAATATAAGTATAAAATATTTTAATGTCTAAATTAGTAAAAATATAATAAAAACTAAAAAATTTAAATAAATTTTTATATTCCTTTACAATTATAAAAATTATAAAAATTAAAAAGATCTAAAATTTTTTTTTAGTTACATCATTACATACATAAAAAATAATAATAAATAACTTAATGTTTTAAATACAATGCAAGTAATACTTAAAAGTTTTTTTTCTTTGCTTAATGTACCAAATAATTTGGTTTTATTTTCTAAATCTCGTTAAAAATGAATAAAATTTAATATAAATATCACTCTAATTAATTAAAAGTATTCATAATTAAAATTTAAAACTCTTTAACTAAAAATTCAAAAATAGTTGAATATCAAGATTAACCTATTATATAATTTTAAGACTCTTAAAATGATTTTTATTTAAAATTTAATTAAAAAAATAAAAATATTATTTTAATAACAAATTCTTAAAATGATTTTTATTTAAAATTTAATTAAAAAAATAAAAATATTATTTTAATAACAAATTAAAAATTTAAGATTTTAAGAGTGGAGTTATATATTAAGTTACAAATTAGAAATCTGCTGCGGTATGGTATATATGGTGAACGTTTTGAAGGACTTTGGTCGGAGGTAGATTGGCGGTGAGAAACTGAGAATCTCTTCTCTTCCGGAGCTCTACCTGTACATTTCTAGGGTTTTTGCATCTTCACGCAGTGACGTAGGGTGGGTCTGTAATGCTTCTTTTCATTTTACTGTTCTTATCATCTTTTTAAATTTTAATTGAATTCCTTCTGCTCATTCCTGTGATCGCAGCTTTCAGAGATGGATATTGATTCTGATTTTCAAAAATCGAATAACCAGCCAGAGGAGGAGAGCTCGTCGATGCAAATGGATTCTCAGGTATCGGTGGTTTAATTTTAATACTTTTTCTGAAACTATTACTACATTTTTTAGTGCTGAAGTTATTTACTTATTCTGATTAGGAGAATATCATTTGATTTTGATATGAAGGGAAGCGGTGATGAAAAAGAGAAGCTTATGGAGTCCATGGATAAGTTAAATATCGAGGGAACTTCAACAAATTTCAAGAAAAAACCGGTTATAATTATTGTTGTTGGGATGGCAGGTAATCTGGGAAAACTCAGTTTTTCTTTGTTGGAATGATTCTAGTTGTTATGTTTGCTAAATGAGTTGGAGATTGTGTGGGTTAGATTCTTTGAAATCCATGTTGTTAATGTGTTGCTGAGTGAATGTGAAAGTTGAGAAATGTTATTGAATTTAGTATAGGAAGTGGAAAAACAACATTCCTCCATAGGCTGGTTTGCCACACACAAGCTTCAGATATAAGGGGTTACGTTATCAACCTCGACCCTGCTGTTTTGACCCTCCCATTTGGTGCAAACATTGATATAAGGGACACTGTTCGATACAAAGAAGTGATGAAGCAGTTTAATCTTGGGCCTAATGGAGGAATTCTTACATCACTCAACTTGTTTGCTACCAAGTTTGATGAGGTAATTGTTCTGAAACTTCTACTTTTACTTTTGTGCCCACCACACCATTACAAGAAAATACTTTTTGTTAAACCTCTACTTTTAATGAGCTAATGCTTGGCTGCCTGGACTTGTTGAGATGGGTTTAGTGATTTTATTACTTAATCTTGTGCTTAGACTTTAGTGCCCTTGCAAGATTGTCCGGTCACACGGTTTCAGTTTTGGAGTAACTTTTGGGTTAAATGCTTAGTTTGGCAGTTGGCTGTTGGACATGGTTCATACATTTTGTGCCTAGTAATGTGCTTTTTTCCTTGTATGTCATTCATAAATTTGTTGGTGGGAATACTGGCTAGGGTAGTTGCTGTTTTAACCTTCTTTATCCATGATCCATCCTGGAATCAGTAACACATATAAATATGTTCAACCCTATTGGATTTTTTTTGTTTTTTTCTCACAAATAACCTTGCAAATATCCAATTTCAGGTTGTTCAATTAATAGAGAGCTGAGCAGATCAGCTTGACTATGTTCTTGTGGATACTCCTGGTCAGATTGAGATATTTACTTGGTCTGCTTCAGGAGCTATCATTACAGAAGCTTTCGCTTCAACTTTTCCTACTGTAATTACCTATGTTGTGGATACTCCTCGTTCAGCCAGTCCATCCACCTTTATGAGCAACATGCTCTACGCTTGTAGCATTCTCTACAAGACACGGTTGCCTCTTGTATTAGCATTCAACAAGGTTGATGTTGCTCAACATCAGTTTGCTTTAGAGGTATTATTTATTTCTACAGAAGAAGACTCATCCAGATATTTTTCTTTTGAATTAAATGGTAATGGCAGAAATGCTTCTGTTGGGATCTTGTTTTTATTTTTCACATTGATTGCTATTTAAAACTATTGCTTATTTCCATAAAAAATAAAAAAAAAACACTATTGCTTATTAGGCTACAGTGCATTCTACATCATTGTTTTGAAGGCTTTTTTTATACCCACATGGATTGTTTCTTTGTATTCATCAATCATTTAGTTAGGATTCAAATTTTTATTCATTTCCTTTTTTCTAGTAGGTTGCACTATATTGTCATTTTTAGCCTTTGGTACCAAATTGTTGTTTGTAAAAATTAAGAAACGATACCATGCAGTGGATGGAAGATTTTGAGGCATTTCAAGCAGCAATAAGTTCAGATAGCTCAGACACGTCAACATTAACCCAGAGCCTCTCCCTTGCTCTCGATGAATTTTATAAGAATTTACGGTCTGTTGGAGTGTCTGCAGTGTCTGGTGCTGGAATGGATGCTTTCTTTAAAGCCATTGAAGCAAGTGCTGAGGAATTCATGGAAACCTATAAGTACTTCCTCAACTTCTTGTTTTTTTGTTGTTTCTCATTCCTTAAGTGCTCTACTAGTGTACTACTAAAATGAAAGTCCTTGTGTTGTCGAATTTGATAATTTAACAAATTAATCTCAATTTAATTTTGCATCATGTATTCTTGTTGCTGCAGGGCTGATCTTGACAAGAGACAGGCAGAAAAGCAACGTCTTGAAGAAGAACGCAGAAAGGAGAGCATGGACAGGTTGAGAAAAGACATGGAGCAATCCAGGGGGGAGAATGTGATCTTGAGCACTGGTTTGAAGGACAAAGACGGCAGGAGAAAGTACTTGGTGGATCCTGAAGATGAAGAAGAAGAGGAAGAAGAAGAGGAAGATGATGATTATGAGAGGTTTTCTGACGAGGAAGATGTTATAGATGAGGATGAGGATGAAGAGGTTGCCAGGTTCTCCTGATAAAAATGATCCCTAATGGCAAGCTTAACAGATAAAGGAGTGAAAAGGTATTGTAAGGCAACAAATTCTCTCGAAACAACTTTGCATTTGACCTTAGGCAGCAACCAAACCACTAACAAGAGTCTAGAATTGAATTATAGCAGTAAATATCTTCGGATTTAAGTCTTTTGATCCACCAATAAGAAAACAATACCAAAGCTTGCTGACATCCATGTAGTAAGTCGTAGAAAACTTGTGCACATGGTTTACTTTTCTACAGTACTCAAACTTGGAAAAACAGGTGTGCGTGTATGACGGGCTTTCAATGAAGTGCATGGCATTTTTCTGGCATTATTCTGCAAGTCATATGGTCTGTGTATTGGGAATGGGATTTTCACTTTCAGGAATAACTCTGGCAACTGTAAATGGTTAATTAAAGCCCTGGTCCATTTTTTCTCTCAGAAAATTTACACAAGTGCCTGGGAATCGTGACTTCCGACGACTGTAAATAGTTTATATATATCATACCTAATTGTTTAAATAATCAACAACCATTTCCAGTTAAGTGTTACTAAACAAAATTAGAGTCAACACAACATTATTAATAGGAAGTCCAGAAAGATTGTCCACAATTCACTGGGAGATGAAGACATAGATGAGCTATCTGTGTTGCCTTTTTTGTGGGGACTGAGGAAACCTCACTAGGCTCCTAATGGAGATTCTTACGTTGTCTTGCCTCCGGGATTTACTCAATGGACATCCGAACAGGGCCTTGTTTCCATGAGATGGGCACCACCACAGGTGGAAATTCTCAAACAGCCATCAATTGGGGGTACCCTGTTTCATTCTGGATGGGGTTCTGTGATTGAGGTCCTGTAGTTTGGGCACTGTCTTGTTGTGCTACCATTTTATCATGACCAAGGATTGAATGCAAGGTTGCTGATAGAAAAAGGGTTGGCCCTTGAAATCCATAGAAACAGAGATGGATCCTCCAATCGACACAATGTTGCTGATTGTCTTCGAAAGGCAATGTTACCAGAGGGAGGACGGCAGTTGATGGACCGTTGCAGAGAAACTTCGTTAGTCTTAGGTGACCAAAATCTGCACCAAGACAACTATGTTCACGACTTCGTAAAATACCTTACAAATGAGGTTATGAAAAGGAAATGGTAGGTCTGATGCCTCGAATCCCATTTGGGGATAGAAATATTACAACCAACCACAATCATACTTCATTCATGATCTGCGGTTTGGGGAATTATACTCTCTACTTTATTTATTGTCAATTGATTTTAAATTGAATACTTGTATGCCATTAGAGCTTTGTGAACCCACACGATTCATTAATGCCTAATAGAGTCCTCTGTATGCATTAGAGCTTGTGAGGAATATCATACCTAATAGGATGATTTCTCAATCTCCTGAAAGTTCATTAATGCCTAAAATCCTAACAGTCTTCTCTCTTCAACTTTCATTCTCAATTCTTCTTCGGATGGAATCTTGTCACCACTCCTCATGGTTGCGCGCCACCATGCCATAAGCTCATCCTGCAAAACATGTGCTTCAACAAACTTCTTCTCAAATATGAATGCCAGTAAAAATCGGCAACAGTTTAGCATAGGCTGTCTGCTCAATGTAACATAATCTAATACCTAGGAGAGAAGTTTTGATCTTTGATGTTAAACTAAGCCTCAAAGTAATTGCAGTGGCAAAATGCGCACTGCAATTACTTGAAAAATGAAGATTATTAAGGCAATAGACTAATATCCGCAGCTCATTATTTAACAGGAAGTTAAATTTGGATCTTTTATACCTCAAGAAAATCATGGTTGGAGATGTATTGGCTCTCAACCAAACATTTGATCCCTCCTACATTTACAGAAATGGAACTTTTGGAATTCCTTTGAGAATTTAGTCTCTGAGCTTCTGGGCAAAAGGATGAAGAAGAACATAAGAAAATGGAAAACAAGGGAAGATGTCATTGCATAAGGAGGCATTAAGCAAGGCATGGGAAATTTTCAAGTCATACCACTAATTTGGGCAACATAATATCCAGTTCCCCCTAATACTTCTTCCCACTTCCCAAGCCTCAAGCGCAGGAAAAAGCCATCTAGATGTGAGGGTGACATTTGGGAATTCATCCATCTGGTGCAGATGTGAAACATGAAGAATGAGGTAATAAATTTCAAATAACATAAACAAGTACGTGGATGATTGTGAATTGTAATGCACTTACTTGAGGACATCCATCCGTGATAAACGGAGCACCTTAATGGCATCAAATATTTCTTTTGGTACATCTGAAACCTGCTGACTGATAAAATTGAACAAAGTTGTGATCTGATTTTCCTTTGACTTGTTTGCTCCGGAACTAGAAGCTTCATTTTTCTTATTTAAATCTGTACCTGCTCTCATTCTATCTGAAGTTGTCAAATAATCAATGTTGGTCCAGATCCGAGTTTCATTCCCATCAAATTCTGTATATGAAACAGCAGCATTTTGGTTCTCATTACCATTCATCAACTTTGGGATTTCTTCATTTCTTTCACTACACTGCATTTTGCTGTCATTAGCCAAAGAAGCACCAATGCCAGATTGTTGTTGTCTCCTGGAGGATGCACTGGGACATGCAATGGCCCAATGATTAACTTGAAAGCATCTAATGCATACAGAGGGTGATTCTTCCACTTCATTATTTGACTTAATATTCCTCACAAGCTCTTCAATCTCAGCATCAGTTATCTCTGAACAATATTGCAAATGGTGACCTTTCCTGCCACAAAAGAAACAGGTGATAACTGCAGGAGCTCCATTTTCTGATACACCAGAAGGCATTATGTGCTTGAGTGCATCCAATCTCCTAGCAAAAACAGAAGCAATTACTTCTGAGTTTTTGAATCTTGTGGAAGACACAATGGGGTTCAGTTTACATGCAGATTTCTGATCATCTTGTACTGGGAAGTCTGGGATTCTATTGAAACCCATGGAAACCTTGGTTTCGGTAGCATAATTTTGTAATTCTTTTCCTGAATCCATCACTGGCTCTTCACCACAATACCGCCTAGTCTCTACAACCTTAATATTGTTAGAAATATTAACATAATTCTCGGGGGTAGGAATAAGCTTCATGCGATCAGTAGAGCACTCAATAACTCCACTAGCACTTTGGTTGTGATTATCTTGGTTCAACAAGGGACCAGAACCCTTTGGAGTAAACCGAGCTATCCACAAGCAGCTTAGAGGATCAGTTTTGTAACCAATGTTATGAGCCGTCTTACTTTCAATTGGTGTGTCAGAATAAATGTTCTCTGTGTTCATCACCTTACGTTTACCAAGAGAGGAACTGGAGCTTCTTCCATCTTTTTCTGCAGCAGATAGCAAGTTGCATGGATTATTGTTCTCTGCTGAACTGGCCTCACTGTTTCTCTGATTGGCAGTGAAATCTATAGATGGAATCTTCAGTTCTGTTGCTGGACCTGCTACATCTCCAGAGGTAGACTCTTTGAACCTATCATTCTGCAGAAGTAACATCCTGTGGCAACTGATGTTTTCTCCATGGCAGGCAATAGGAGTTGCATCCATGTCAAAAGTCTTATTAGCTAGCTCAAACTTTGTCTGGTTTTCATCAAGTGTTGTTGTGTCTTGAACCTTTCTCTTTGGACAATATATTGACCGGAACATGGATTGAAAGCCAAAATTTCTGCACCCAAGATCTTGGTTCTTACTAAAGGTTTCCAGATCTTTTCCAGTACTATCATCTCCATGACTCAGATGTGCCACAGTGTGAGCCAAAGAAGTTGTCTCAGCTTTTGATTTCATAAACCCTTTCATCATGTTGGATATCCAGTTCATGAAAGAGCTGTCTTGTTTATTGAATGATGAGGAAACAGGACTTCTCTGAATTTGCTTTTTGACTCTTTTGCTCTCAGCAATCAACTGTTGATCAAAGCCCCATCGCCTTTTGCCTGAAGAAAATAACCGCTTGCTGTTACAACTTTCAACACTCTCATGGCTGTCATCCTCCTCTTCAGACATTCTTCCTTTAACATCTCCGTCAGATAAAGCTTTTTCCTTGCCTTTTCTTTGATATTTGTGGATTTTTCTAGTTGGAGAATGGTCACCAGAAACT